TTACTGTCTCCCCAGGAGGGAGCTAGTTGTCTGATGATTCCTCATGACACTGTGCCTCTCCTGAGTCTTCTTAGTGACTCAGCCTGTCGTAGAGTACTTCTTTACTCAGGTTTCTGAGATGCATCCTTAGTCATTGTGGGTTTGTCCATATCAGGAAGCATGATGGTCCTTTTGATCATGCTGGCAGCAGGCTGGGAGGGCCAGTATCACAGGCCCAGGGCCTCCTGCAGGCCGTGGATAGGCCCTCTGATCTTGGCCTCCCCTCGGTCCTTCCTCAGTGATGCATGTCTGTTTTTCTCTAGCTGATCTGGACATGCCTGGCTCCTGCCCACTCAGCCTGAGCTTGGCCATCTCTGGAAAGGGAATTACAACCAGATGTCTTCCACTCGTGGTGGCAGGAAGCCCACTGTCCTCACGCCCTCATCCTTGTTGAGTGACTGAGTCCTGGGGTTTACTGCAGCTCTTGTCCTGGACTTGGCCACAGGACCCAAGCCTCCCTGGGAGGGACAAGGACGCCTTTGGAGCCTTTTTTGTGCTGTGTTGAGTGCACCTGCTACTGCTGTGCACATGTCAGCATCGTGCTGGTTAAGATGGGCTGTGACTAAGGCAGCTCTTACTTCCCAGTAGAGTATTTGGTCTCAGCAGTTCTGAACTTGGTCTTGCCAGGTGACTACTGTGCCTGGTGCCTTGCTCTGGGTCCACCTGCCTTCCTGCCTTAGACAGCTGGGTCCTCTTATTCCTAATTCTGCTTCCCCAAGGCTGGGGGTGGGGGCAGGTGCTTGGTGGCCACCTGAATGGCAGTACTTCCAGGAGCAGTGCTGGGTTAGGCCCGGCAGCTTCCTCTCGTTGTTCTGTGTGTGGCATGGAGGAATTTTGGGTATCCCAAGGCCTCCTTGTTTCTGCCCTTGACCCCCGTGGAAACGAGGTGTCCCATCTGTCTTGCTGGTCACCTGCAGAACGTGGGATCTGCTGTGTTCTCACGCTGACTTAGCTGTTGAGCCCCTTCTGCACCAGATCTGGTTGGCTGTCAACTGGGTTGCTGTTGCCCTTCCCTAGGCTGGGGTGCCTTCCTGCCTGTTTTCCCACAGACACTACTGCCCAGAGCCAGGGCTCCTCTATGGGATGGCTGTTTGTTCTATGCTGGGTTCCACGAAGGACCTGTTGACCTCTCCAATAGGTGGCCTCCTTGGTGACAGGCTCCCATGCATACCACTCACTGTCTGTGGGTGTTGGAGCCTGTTGACCTTGTCCCTCGTGATTAGCCTGTCATGCTGACGCTCTTCCCAGCTCCCAGCACTGCCATCTCCAGAAACATGCAGGCTTTTGAGAGTTTTCCTGCTGTTTCTCAGAACTTCTGGGGATTGAGCAGGGCCCAGAGAGGACCTCTTGCCCTGTCCTCTTTGGGGCTCTGGGTGGTATGTCCAGCATGGGGTGGGGTGTCCTATTCTGAGGTTTTGGGGTGGGGTGTCCTACCCGGAGCTCTGCAGCCCTCCAGGCCCAGCTCTTCTGAGTCTTGATCTTTTGTGAACCAGTGAGAAGAGTAAACAAATTAGAATGTGGGAATGGTAGGAAATTGAGAAAATAAATTACAGAAGAAACATCGATTACGTGAGATGTTTACGTGAAAGACAAAGAGATGAGATGGGATTGTAGGTCTGAGGCAGCTGATGACGAGCCTGCATGGAACTGTGTGAACAGCTTTGTTTATATATAGTACCTAAACAAGGTTGCTTGTATTAACAAAGTTGCAAATCAGCAAGGAAAGCCAGTGGGAATATTTTCACCTTACAAGGTTGAGGGGAAGTAACTAGATAAGTAACAGGAGTTATATCATAAGCAATACATACATACATACATACATATATATATATATATTTTTTTTTTTTTTTTTTTTTGAGACTAAGTCTCAAGTTGTTGCCCTTGGTAGGGTGCTGTGGCATCACTGCTTAAAGCAACCTCAAACTTCTGGGCTTAAGTGATTCTCTTGCCTCAGCCTCCCGAGTAGCTGGGACTACAGGCACCTGTCACAATGCCCCACAGTTCGGCCCGGGCTGGGTTTGAACCCGCTACCCTCGGTATATGGGGCTGGCACCCTACACGCTGAGCCACAGGTGCCGCCCAAGTCTGGCTATTTTTTGTTGCAGTTGTCATAGTTGTTCAGCTAACCTGGGCTAGGTTTGAACCCACGAGCCTTGGTTTATGTGTCTGGCACCATAACTACTGTGCTATGGGTGCTGAGCCGATAAGCAGTATTCTTAATGACATGAATCTTAGTACGTGGGGTAAAGATTAACTTTAGGGAGAGAAGGCTGTGTGCTTTTCAGAAAAAGATGGGAAGTATACAGAAGCTACATGACTTGGGGCAGAGGGAGCAAGGAGAAAGGACCTTTGCTGTTTTAAGAAGGGAGGAGAAGCATTTGGGGGCCATTCTCTGAATGCACCTCCTGGGCTGTGAGGGTTCTACTGTCTCATAGTCCGCACTCCACACCTTCTCCCTTTTTATTTCTTAGGGCCAAATAGTACCAATTTATGAACAAATGATTCTAATTGGAGGAGTTGCTTGACTCCAACTCTGCAGAAGAAAAACAAGGAACAGCTATCACAGCTGTGAAAAGCTTGGTGGGGGGTGTATGACTGGCTTGCCACAATGTTGCACAAGATCAGTTCTTTCATGGGTCAACTTCTTCACTTGTCCCTATGTCGGAGGCTTCATCTTCTAGATGTCTTGGCTCAGTGGTAGATCACTTGGGGTGCCAATCTCAGCTTCCTCATTGGTGGCACAGGAAGATCTCCAGGGTCCATGTCTGATCAACCATTCAGGGAGCCAATGAGGACTGTCAGCTGCTCTAGGAAAAGCAAACATGTTCTCTCCCCCATATTAGAACAGGGTCAGGCCCTTGCCAAATACCAGTCAGAGGGTCCTTCCATAGTACCTCAGGATGTTTAGAATTAGGTGCATTCCAAAATCACTCAGCTGCCGTGTATCCCTGGATATCAGCATTTTAAAAATTTGAAATAAAGAAGGTGTGAGAGAGAAGATTATGAGGTGTATTGGGGTATATCTCTCCCTTCTTTAACTTATCAAGTTGAAGTTTAAGAGTGAGGTGAGTGTGTTTGACAATTCCTTGGCCTTGGTTCCAAAGTCCCAGTGGAATTCCTTGTGGCAACTTGTCAGCTGATGCTAGGTGAAGAGCAATTAGGCCCAAAACATGGGGGCAGGTGCTGGCCCCTCGAAGCCCTCCCACTACTCAGGCCCTGCACCTTAGCCTCTGTGCAGTGTGTCTATACCATCTGCCCTCAATGTGGCCATGAGTGGCTCATCCTATGGTATGGGTGGACCATGGTTTTATCATTCTGCCGAGGTTTTTGCTCTCTTTCCAATTGTAGGTTTTTTAGATTATTACAAAATAAATGTTCACATACAGGTAGGTTTTTGCATGGACCTGTGTTTTTATTTATCTTGAGTAAATATTTTTCAGTAAATGGCTAGTTTGGATGGTAGGTGTATTTTTTTTTTTTTTTTTTTGAGTCAGTCTTGCTTTGTCACCCTTGGTATGGTGCCATGGCATCTTAGCTCACAGCAACCTCACACATTCTCTTGCCTCAGCCTCCCAAGTAGTTGGGACTACAGGCACCCTTAATGCCCACTATTTTTGGAGATGGGATTTCGCTCTTGCTCAGGCTGGTCTCAAACCCCTGAGCTCATGCAGTCCACTCACCTCGGCCTCCCAGAGTGCTAGGATTATAGATGTGAGCCACCTCGCCAGGTCAGGTATGTTTAACTTTTTAAGAAATTGCCAGAGTGGTCTTTAGAGTGGCCTTTGAGGGATATGCATTCTGCTGGTCTGTACCCCAGACGTGGTGTAGCCATGATTCTGGTGTCCATTGGATGTGTGCCGGTATCTCAGTGTGGCTTTAATTTGCACTCAATGAGGCCCTACATCTCTTTCTGTGCTTATTGGCCATTTGTGTACTTTCTTTGTGAAGCGTTTTATTCAGTTTTTTGCCTTTTTCATTAGCTTGTGTATCTTCTTTGAGTGTAAGAGTTCTTCATATGTCTAGACACGTGTGTTGTGAGTGTTCCCTCCCACTGTGTGGTTGGCCTTTTCATGTCTTTGGGTGCAGTGGAGTTCATGACAGTCTGTGTCTCCTGAAGGTGAACCCCAGGCTGCCAGCTGTGTTTGTTGCACACTTGCTCTGGGAGGCCGTAAGTGCCCCCATCTAGAGAGGAGACCAAGGTGCAAAGAGATTAACTGGCTTCTCCAAGCTCATGCCACTTGTCTGGATGTCAGAGCTGGGTCTCTGGTTATTTGTAGGCAGTTAACATGCAGAGGGGTCTCAGGTGCCGGGGGTGGGAGGGTTGGGGGTGGGTCTCAGGTGTGGGGGTCTGTGGCCTACGGTTCTGGTGCCTGACTGCTGTGGGCTGTTGCTAAGTGACTGTTTTGGTTGGCACTAGGGTGGGATAGGCTGCAGCTGCCCCCTGCTGAGAGCCCTTTTCTCCCACATGGGGTTCTGAAGGCCCTCTAAAGGCCCTGCTAGAGTCAGACTTGAGCCCACCTCTGTTGCCAGACTCCAGGGAGTAAGTAGCCTTGTTAGGGCTGTGCCCTTCATGCTCAGGCTGGTGTGCTCTCTGCTGTTGTTCCTTGAGCTGTCATCTTCTGAGTCTCAGATGTGGTGATTTCCCAGGCCCAAAGCCTGGCCATCTCATTGCATCTTGCTGAGTGGAAGATGCCATGTTTACTAGTGTCTGGTGGCCCTGACGACAAACACCTGCTCTGGACACCAGCAGCACTGTGACCTGAGGCCTCTGAGCACCCCAGCTCCCTGAGAACAGGCAGGATCATCCAGAAGCCATCTGCAGGGCCTGCCAGGCACTCGCCATCTAGGAGGTAGAGAGAGCAGTTCAGCTCTCACCTGGGCACAGACGTGCCTGACAGGTAACGTGCGTATTTGACAGACTGTCTGACTTTGACATGATGACTATGTGTTTTGGATTTCAGGCGAGCCCACACCTTGACTGTGCTCTTCATCCTCACCTGTGCACTTGGCTATGTGACACTGCTGGAAGAAACACCTCAGGACACAGCCTACAACACCAAGAGGTAATTGCAGCTGCCCTCTCCCACACCGGGTACACTGGCCCCTAGTGAGAGGCTATGGCGTCTGTGCTGTACCAGGCTGGCCAGGGCTCAGAGGCTCTCTCTGGCACCCTTCCCATGGGCCTGACACACCCCTTTCCTAGGCCTCCCCTCTGGTGCTATGTGGCCTTTCTTGCCCATGGACTGGTCAGCCCCGGTCCCACCTGTCATTGGGCCCCTGGAGCCTGTGTCACCTCCCCTGTACTCTGCAGCTTATGCTGTACCCCATTGCATTTGTGTGCTGGGGGACGGGAGGAGCCTCACAGCCTCCAGGGCTAGAGCCTGGTGTTTGGGCTCTCGGGCTGTTGGGGTTATATGGAGCAGTGACAGTTAGCTGGTGTGGTTCCTATATGCTGGGGTGTTGTGGTTTTTGTTTTTTTGTTTTTTAGAGATGAGGTCTTGCACTGTGTCCCAGGCTAGAGTGGAGTAGTATCATCATGGCTTCTGGCAGCCTCAAACCTCTGGGCTAAGGCAGTCTTTCTGCCTCAGCCTTCAAGTTGCTAGGACTGCTAGTATGCACCACTATCCCCTGCTAATTTTTTTATTTTAATTTTTTATAAAAATAGGATGTTGCTGTGTTATTCAAACCGGTGTTGAACTTCTGACCTCATCCTCCCAAAGTGCTGGGATTATAGGCATGAGCCATTGTGCCTACCCAACACTGGTGTTAATACTAACAACTTTTTAAAAATTTAAAGCATTCTCTGTTCCTTTTCTCTCCTACCATCTTCTCCTTTCTCTCTTATCTCTTTTTCTCATCTCCCCCAACTCTTTTCCTTCTCTAATAAAAAATAAACTTAGACTTTTATATTCTAAAAATAAGTGAAGCACTTGTAGCTGCTGGGCAGCCATCTGGTGAGGGGTTGTCTGGTGGGCAGCCTGTGACCTCACTTCTGCAGTCCAGAAGTGGTTGTCTCCGAAGGCAGACCAGTCACTAGATTGGTCCTCTGCCTGAGTTCTGTGGCTTCTGAGGTCAGTGCGTGGAAGAGAAGCTGAGAGTAGAGCTTGTTGCTTATCGTGAGTCCTTGCCTGACAGACTCACCTCTCCAGTTGTTCGCCCAGTCTGGGCACCTCATATTAGTCAGAGCTGCTTCCTGCCTGGCAAGTTGCTGCTGCTGCTGGGCCCCAAGCCCCACCTCCTCTGGTAGCACAGCCTGGGGAAGCCAGAGGGGTCAGGATCCATCCTGGAGGAGTTGGAGGTAGAGGGAGCTCCAGGGGCCGATCAGTGGCAGTACCCAGGCCTTGTATAACCTACCTATTGTGACATCTCTGGGTCAGCATTTGGCTTTTTGTTAATGTCTGATGATTAGGTTACAGGTGGGTATGGTGTGAACACCATTATCCTCTCCACAGTTGTCAGCCAGGCCTAGTGGGTCCACTGTCATAGTGCTAGGTGGCCAGGCCTGGTGGGGCCACCATCACAGTGCCAGGCGGCTCACCATCAGCACTGGTGGGGCCACTGTCACAGTGCAGGTGGCTCACCATAAGCAATGGTGGCTCCTGGCTGTGTGGGATATGTTAGAGTCACCTTATAACAAGCTTGTCTCCTTGGGTACAGCCGGCCACTTCTGATTAGGAATTGCTGTTGGGAATACCAAGGCCCAGGGTTCTGCAGACCACTCCCTTAAGGGGCTCACACTCTGTCCTCAGCTGGATGTCACAGGTGGCCACTGCCTGGTTTCCTTACCCTGCTCCCCGCTCTGTGGCTTTTCCTCCCTACTTTGTTCTTTGTGGGTGCCAGCTTCCACCTAGTTCTGTCCTGTGCCAGGGCTACTGGCCACTGTCTCAGCCTCAAGCCAGTGCCTCCGCCTCTCAGCCTGAGTCACATGTGGAGTCTGTAGCATGTTTGTGTGTATGTGAGCTCCTGTGTGCTGGTGTGAGGGTGTGTGCTCTTGTGAGCGTGTGTGAGCTTGTCTGAGTGTATGTGAGCTCGTGTGAGCGTTGTGTGTGAGCTCATGTGAGTGTGTTTGTGCTCATGGGGGCTCACGTACTTGGGCACCAGGGTCAGAGTAGCAGAGGGCGTCTGCTGCATCTTGGGCCCTTGCAGGGGCTGCCCAGGTCACTGGGCCTGTGTATGTCAAGATGGTGAAACTGCTAATAGGAATCCCACATTTGCCTAGAGCACTGGTTCTCAACCTTCCTAATGCCGCAACCCAGTTCCTATGGGTTGCGACCCACAGGTTAAGAACCACTGGCCTAGAGGGAGCTTCCAAGTAGGATTTGGTCTTTTCCATCAAGAATGAGCAGGTCGGCTCGGCGCCTATAGCTCAACCGGCTAAGGCGCCAGCCACATACACCTAAGGTGGCGGGTTCGAATCCCCAGCCCGGCCCCGCCAAACAACAATGATGGCTGCAACCAAAAAAAAAAAAAAAAAAATAGCCGGGCGTTGTGGCGGGCGCCTGTGGTCCCAGCTACTTGGGAGGCGGAGGCAGGAGACTCGCTTGAGCCCAGGAGTTGGAGGTTGCTTTGAGCTGTAATGCCATGGCACTCTACCCAGGGGGACAGCTTGAGGCTCTGTCTCAAAAAAAAAAAAATAAAAGAAAGAATGAGCAGGTCTGCATCGTCTCAGGGACATGCTAGGCCAGGGAGTAGTATGGAGCAGGGCGTGGTCATATCTCAAGAGTGAAATTAGGGCAGAGATGAGCAGTCCCATCATCGCCAGGCAAGAACTGTCACAGGAAGAACCTGTTTGCCAAGCCCCTGGAGGAGCAACTCCAAGCCTAAGGGGGTGATGGCTGGGACCCCGAGGGGGCAGGCCCTGCTGATGGAGCTAGTCTCCTTGAGCCACCTTCTTGCTGTGCTGCCCCCATATGGACATTGAGATGGAGGACACAGAAATTCAGGGCTCCTGGCACTTTTCTTCTGAGGGTCCATGTTTCAGGGACACTGGATATCTTCCTAGCTCGCATTCTTTAGACACCCCCCCACTCCCCGCCACCCCCCGTCTCCCCAACCCCCCAGCCTCACTGTCTTTAAGAGCAGAAAGGAGCCACCACCTTCTCTGGGCCCCCGATGTCAGCACAGCGCTAGAGATCTGACCTGCCCTGGCCTTGCAGGTCTTGGGGTGGCTGCTAGGGCCAGTTTACTTACTTACTTACTTTTTTTTTTTTTTTTTTATTGAATGGTAACTGTGTACATTAATGCACTTCTGGGGTACAGTGTGGTGTCTTCACAAACAATCCGAAACACTTCCATCAAACTAGTTAACATAGTCTTCATGTAATTTTCTTAGTTATTGTGTTAAAACATTCATATTCTGCTCGTAGAAAGATTCACTTGTACCCTTGTAAGATGAACCACAGTACTTACTTACTTTTTTATTTAATTTTTCTTGAGACAGAGTCTCACTCTGTCATGGCTAGAGTGCCATGATGTCATAGCTTACAGCAGCCTCAAATTCCTGTACTCTAGCAATCCTCCTGCCTCAGTCTTCCAAGTAGCTCGGACTATACGTGCCCACCATGCCACCTGGCTAATTTTTCTATGTTTACTAGGGACAGGGTCTTGCTCTTGGTAAGGCTGGTCTCAAACTTCTGAGCTTAAGGGATCCTCCCTCCTTCACTTCCCAGAGTGCCAGGATTATAGGTATGAGCCACTGCACCTGGCTAAGACTAATTTATTTTAATATGTGAGGGTTATTTGATGCCCTCAAGCATAGGTTTTATATATAGAAAAGACCCTCTCAAGGTTAACCTTATTTTAAGACAGTAATATTTCATTATTAAAGGAAACTAGTTTTTTTTTTTTAATTCAGTTTTTGGCCAGGGCTGGGTTTGAACCCACCACCTCTGGCATATCTACTCCTTTGAGTCATAGGCGCCACCCAGAAACTAGTTTCTTTTTTTGTAAGCTTTTAATTTCAGCTTGTCTATCACTGTTCTTTTTATGCATCTGATAGTTTGTTACTTGAGGGGATTGGTTTTGTTTTTCTTCTTAAATCAACCTTATTGGCTCAATGCCTATAGCTCAAGTGGCTAAGACGCCAGCTACATATACCAGAACTGGCAGGTTCGAATCCAGCCTGGACCTGCCAAACAACAATGACAATTACAACCAAAAAATAGCTGGGTGTTGTGGCAGGCGCCTGTAATCCCAGCTACTTGGGAGGCTGAGACAAGAGAATTGCTTAAGCCCAGGAGTTGGAGGTTGCTGCTCTGTCTCAAAAAAAAAAAAAACAAAAAAACCCCCCACCTTATTGACATATAATTTTGTAACTAATTATAACACACAGCCTGATGAGTTTTTTATTTTTTTTTTTTAAGATTGTCTTACTTTGTTATCCTTGGTAGAGTGCCTTGGCGTCATAGCTCACAGCAACCTCAAACTCTTGGGCTCAAGAGATCCTCTTGCCTCAGCCTCCCTAATAGCTGGGACTACAGGCACCCGCCACAATGCCAGCTATTTTTAGAGAGGGGTTCTCGCTCTGGTCTAGAACTCATATGAGCGCAGGCAGTCTACCCGCCTTGGCCTTCCAGAATGCTGGGATTACAGGCGTGAACTACCACACCTGGCCCCCTCATGAGTTTTTTTTCCTTTTTTTTTTTTTTTGAGACAGAGTTCTACCATATGCTCTGAGCAGAGTGCAATGGCGTCATAGCTCACTGCAACCTCAGACACCGGCTGTGGGCATCCTGCTGCCTCAGCCACCCAAGCCACTGGGATTATAGGTGCTCACCGCAGTGCCTGGCTGGGTTTTTCCATTTTTTCATGAGTCGGGGTCTCACTTAGATAAGCCACAAACTCCTGAGTTCAAGCAGTCCTCCCTCCTCAGCCTCCCACAGTACTGGGATTACAGGCATGAGCCACTATACCAGCCTCTGATGAGTTTTGACAAGTACCTACACCTGTGTGGCCACTGCTGGATGGAGATGTAGGAAATCTCCATTGCCCAAGTTCCTCTGAGCCGTCAAATGGCCACACCCTGGGTACCAGGCAGCCACCTGTCTCTCAGCACAGATTAGTT